TTTTTTTTTTTTTTTCTATTATATTCTATTTTATTTTATTATAGTTTATGGAATTTTATTTTATTTTAAGGAATTTTCTTTTAATATTTTATTTTATTCTATTCTATTCTGTTTTATTATATTTTAGGGAATTTCATTTTATTTTAATATATATATTTTTTTATTCTTTTCTATTCTATTCTATTTTATTAATAGTAATTTTTTTCAGGAATATAGTGTGTATAAACATACAGTACACACACACACACACATTTATATATATCTATTTGTGACCCTGGAGCACAAAAGCAGTCTTAAAGGGTTAGTTCACCCGAAAATGAAAATTAGGCTGTTTTTTACTCACCCCCGATGCATCCTAGGTGTATATGACTTTCTTCTTTCAGACGAATCCAGTCGGAGGGAGATTAAAAATTGTCTTCGATCTTTCAAGCTCTATCATTGCAGTCAGCGGGTGTTGCATTGCTTCAGTCCAAAAGACGTGAAATAAAAAGCATTCTCCCTAATTCCTCTTTTTCATCTTTTAAATGTTCCTTTTTTAAATAGCCTACCGCTTATATATATTCAGAAAGTCTTCCAGTTTTGTGGAAGCATTTAACCACTGGATTTACAGAAATCATTTCTCAACATTGCATCAACTACTGATGAACACATTAATGTTTGTTTGAATTATCACTCAGTAGGTTATTTAACCATCTATTTCAATGTCTTTGGAAGGCTGTAATATGATAAAAATGCACAAATTCACATTATATCTTATTTACATGTAATGCATGGGTTCCCAAACATTTTCGTCATCTGAACCTCTTTCACCAAATATATTTACTTGAAGTACCCCTGAGATTTTAAAACAACTATTTAATAATTAAGTATCACATTTGCATGTTCACGGTTCTCTGACGTTGGTTAATGTTCACATGACATGCATGCAAACAAATAAAATAATTCATTTTTTTAGGAAGTGTTTTATTTCGATTTATGTTATTTTAAAATCATATATTTTACATTTTTATGATTTGATTAATGATTCACTTTTCATTAAACTCACAAACCCCCTGCAGTTCCTTTACGAATCCCAGTTTGGGAAACCTTGACGTAATGTAATGTTTAATGCACTTTATGTTGCTAATTACAATGAATGGAATATATTTTTATTACTCTTTGTATTTTTATACCAATATTGTACAAGATTATCCGGTTTAAATCAATGTGATAAGTTTGGTCAAAAGTAATCAAAAAGTAGTCAGATTATATGCGTAATGTAAACACACACATTTTTATATAAAAATGTAAACATGTTAAACATATATAACATTTTAACATGTATATGTGTGTATATATATATATATATATATATACATACACACATACACACACACACACTACCGGTCAAAAGTTTGGGATCAGTAAGACTTGTAATGTTTTTAAAGAAGAATAATTGATAATAATCAGAAATGATATAATAATAAAATGATAATAAATCAGCATATAAGAATGATTTCTGAAGATCATGTGACACTGAAGACTGGAGTAATGATGCTGAAAATACAGCTTTGATCACAGAAATAAATTACAGTTTAATGTATATCAAAATAGAAAAACGTTATTTTACATCATAATATTTTACAATATTATATTTTTTTCTGTATTTTTGATCAAATAAATGCAACCTTGATGAGCAGAAGAGACGTCTTTCTAATTAATGAATTAATTTCAGTGATGTTATCATTAGTGCACATAATATTATACATGCATAAAGTCATTGCCTATATCTTTTTATTTTTTTATAACCAGAGTTGGGTTATTTTAATCTTCTTTGAGCACAAGAGGTCTCTTCACATGCTCTTCAGTTGGTGTACACACTCTCACATCAGTTTCTGGGTTTGTTTGTTTGTTTGTTTTGACCGTATGAAATCCGTCAAATTTCAGATCAGTGGTGTGTTTGATAAATGAGGCCTCTGGTTTGCGTGTTCACACTGCACTTCAATCCGGAGTCACACCGCTTGTGGGAGTTTAATGTGCTTCTAATGATGTTTGATTGCAACCCATACTGAACCGAAGTGAGTCTCTGCAGTGTTTACGTGGCCGTTGTGTGCAGGTACAGGTACATTTATCACGCCAGGTAACAGACATTGCCATAGTGAGTGTGTGTTACTGAGAATATCGTGTGTTTGAGTGTATGCAAACACATTTAATGAAGTATTTCAAAGGATTCTGCCATATATTTATTTTCATAGACGTATTTGAGAGTCCCACAAATGTCCCAATCATTTCTACAGTGAGAAACTCCAAATACATGAAAATTCACCAGCAGTTTAAACCATCCATAGTTCATCAGCTCCACATGCTTAATATATACTGTGAACATCAACTAGCGGAAACTTAGTAATACACAAAAAAAGGCCTGCTTCTGTCTAACTTCTGTTCTGCCATTGAAATGTGCGATGTAAACAGACAAAGAAGCTCTGTTTCTATTCCTAGTGAGCTGCTCATCTAGACTGTGTTTGAAGGCGTTCAGAATAGTACACTACATATTTATGCCGCCTTATATTTTGGCCAAACTGTAAAGAAGCATTGTAGAGAAGGAAATCCCAGAATGCATTGCTCCAAACATTCAAAAATGCATCCAAGATGACGAACTTATACATTTAAGATTTATATATTTGAATTTCATATAAAATTTCCATGCATTTGGATAAATTATTATTTTTTTTTTTATGTGATGCATATTTGTCAGTCATACATTAATGAAACGGGTCAGATTACTGTAATAGTACTAATAATCTGAATGCGTTTTAAACACACAATAACCAGCTTTATATATTAATCATCAATGAATCCAATTTGTTTCAGTCTCGTACATTTTAACTAATTGAATATCGCTTGTTGCACACGTCGTCGTATTTTAACCATGTTCATGCATTTTAACTGAAGTAATTAAGCACAATTAATTATATTTTTATAAACGCATTTATTATTATTTAAATAAAAATCAAATAGTTGCAAATACTTATGGAAAATGGAAAAAAAAACATGTATAGAAAATGAAAAAAAAGTTTATTTTAGGAATATTTGAAGATGTATTATTTTTATTTATTTATTTATTTATTTTGTGCTTAATGGTCATGTCAATAATGACAGTGCAAAAGATCACAATTAACAGTAAAGCAAAGTGTTTTAAGAAGCTCCTTTAAAGGAAAATACAATTTTATTATTATCGTTATTATGGAAATTTTATATGCAATTCAAAAACATAACTATTAAATTTAGGCCTAAATATTTTTTGCAAGGTTACATCAGGGTCGGCAGATGGTAGAGCAAATATATATAAATTAAGTATTTTTAAAGATAATGTAAGATGTATTATTTTTATAAAAACAATGTCACAATGCAAAACATCATAATTATGTGTGGATCTTTTATATTCAATTCAAATGCACAAATACTCGGCTCACTAGGTTGTGGAACGGAGTGAGAGCGTCTCTAGTTGTTCTGTTACAGATCTGTGCTGATTCTTTACTGTTTCTATGGTGAATCGCTGCTCTGTCGTTAAGGAGACGTTGTTTGTGTGAGAACATCATCACTGTGTAACTAGAAGAAAAGATGAGAATGATTTGATGCTTGTGATTGATTGGTGAACAGCTGCTGTCATCACAAACTGCAGCAGAAGACTAGTTAAGCACTTGACCAGACTAGTCTAGCTGAAGGAAACGAGTGACTGTGATCTAGTGCTCAGACGGCTCAGTCTCTAACATACAAACATCACGCTCTTCTTCATCTGACATGGAGTTGATGTCTGTGTAGTTGTCTCGCGTTCTTAAAAAAAAAAGTACATTTGGAAAAAGTGAATCTCAGTCAATATATAATAAATAAATAAATAAAATGAATCCTATTTTAGGAATAATTTAAGATGTGTTATATTTATTTACTGTTATTTCTATTTGTGCTTCACAAAATCAAAACATACACATATATATATATATGTGTGTGTGTGTGTGTGTGTGTGTGAGTGAGTGTGTGTGAGAGAGAGTGTGTGTGTGAGAGAGAGAGAGAGGATCACAATCCAAAATCAGAAGGAAAAAAATATTTTGATTAAAGAAAATGAAGCCTATATTTTTACATTATAGTAATTTAAAATTATATGTATTTAAATTATTTTTTGTGCTTAATTGTCATGACAATAAAGACAATGAAAAATATTTCATATTTCATATTTTTATTTATTATTCTTTTTTTTTTTCTGCTTAATTGTCATGACAATAATGACAGTGTAAAAGATTTTGTTGTTTCCTTATGAATTGAATTTCTTAATGAAAAATGTGACCTGGACATGGTTTTTGAGCTTCTCTGTTTTCCATTTAAATTTGACTAAATTTGACAAAAGTCTCCTCTTGAGAAAAAGCAACAGGTTCAGCAGCATTTAACGCACCGTTTGACAGAAAAGAGTTCCTGTGTTCCTCTGAAGTGCTGCGCTCTGATTGGCTGTCCTGGTTTGGGCCGGGTTAATGCCACCAATCAGCTCTTTTATTTTCTGTCCGTGTGTTTCCATGCACCACAGACTGAGATAATAAATAATGGATGATATTTAAATGAGGAATGGTGTGTGGATGTGTGCGATCTTTACGCTGTCTCTGGTTTATTGCTCAGTATCTGAGTTCAGGCGTTTCACACCAAAAGAGTCAAATATCAAATTATGGGAAGTATTCAGGACCAAATTTAATTTGACTTTGAAAGTCTGCGAGCCGAAAAGGTTGAACTCTTTTCAGCTTATATGTATTTCCAAAAAATGTCTGTTTCATCATCACGTTTGACATTTCTGTCCCTTAAGCTTCATTGTCACGTCCTTCAAATTAAACATGGCATCTATCCTGAATAATGTCTATA